TAAAACTGCAGCATAAATCTAATTAGTTTTACTATAATGCTTTAATATTTTGTCTCTTGCAGCCTGAAAACTAACAATTAGCTGCTCTTAGACAGCGTTTCAATCTGCCTTTCGGTTGTGTGTAGCAGACCTTCGAAGCATCTTATCCACGCGTGAAGACTTTATAACCCAAAATCGAATGTCCCTTCACCAACAGACGTTGATGCGTTTCTAGCCAAGTTATTCATTTCTTTAGGTGTTACACCACAGATATAAGTTTTGAAATGACTCTTGTGCAATAACACTCCAGACTTTTCCGTTTATCATTGTCATTATCATTTTGTGATCCACGAATTGTCTTTGCCTTCATTTATAATATGTGTCGGAGCAAGAATTTTTATTTCTGTTTCTACTTTACTAACTTCTGTTCGAGTTAGTTCTGCAGTCTCTTCCTGAAACAATAATTTTATTAGGCGACAATAGCGTGTTGGTGAAGGGTGTGGATTTTCCCATTTTATTGCTTCATTATGTTTCAATTGAAGCGGAACCAATGAAATTACGAACAAGAATGCATCATCATGTTCATTTTCCATATCCGTCCTATACATTTTCTCTTGTATGTACTTTGTCCTGCACACAACAACTGTCAGTCACATTTAGCACATATCCGCAACACATCTTGCGCGGGCACTTTGCCGTCAAAGTCTTACAGTGTAGCGGGCATCAATACCATGCAAAACGAGTTTAGTCGCTTCCTGCTAAAGATGTGGAATCCGCGCAAAATGATTTTAGGCGCAAGATGTGTTAATTTGTTTATTGTATAACTGTAGATACTATAGTTTCTATTGGAAACGTTTAGTTCACTTCGCCACGCGTCGAATAAAGCTCTTCTAGTGAGTGCGTCGTCTATTGTAGAAACTGCAATAATATATAAAGTTGGTGAGATATGGTTGCAAATATTATTATTTAAACTAAATCAATCATTTTTAGAAAAAGTTGGAGGAATACGGAGAATTTTAAATTAGCTTGACTAAAGTCTGACAATTATAGGTAAAATTTACATTATTACATCATTTGTTTCTTAATGACATTATCGTAATAATATTTTAAAAAAGTGCATTTAGTTACTGCAAGATACTTTACATACCTTTAGATGAAATTTTCGAAACATAGAACTGCAGTGGCTGAAACAAATGTTGCGATAATGTCTCTTCCTGAAACAAATGCCTATTAAATGTTACGATTTAATAGGCTGCAGTAGACCCTTTTCTACCTACGATTCCCAAACAACCCCGAACAAACGAGCAGATTCCTGTCAATTGTCAATTTATAGAGACAATAAAAATTTTTGCAATTGTTACATACTACTTTATAAGAAAACACTTTCGTGCATTTTGTCAAGCTAAAATAACAGTCTGAACCAGTGTGCGTCGTCTGCGAAGGCCAAGATCTAGATAGACGCTTGACAGTCTTGATAACTTTCCTTTTCGACCATGTCGCAGGCCCTTACATAATATGTTTGATGGTTGGGTTGTTTGATTCTGTACCCTAATCACACTTTCCACCTTTAGCGGTTCTTTAATTAATGAAATAAGGTGGGTGCGTATCTTGAGATTTGCATTTATTCTGATTAGATGTACCCTAGAGATACAATCATAGACGTTTTTATAGTCAAGAAATAAATGGTGCGTTTCTATGTCATATTTTCTTGTCCTTCAAGTATTTGCCTAAGGATAAAAATATTTGGCCAGTGTTTGATTTAGGTTGAAAAACCCGACCTTATAGTTGCCTAAAACCCATTCCACGTATAGCTTCAATTTATATGAAGAGTTCGTGGTTGTGTGATGGTTCTGTAATTAGCACATTGGAGATGGTTTATGTATCGATAATATCAATTCTAGATTCCACGCTTGAGGGAGCTACATTCTTTCCCATATGTGTTTTACTAGTTCCCGTGATGCCTTCTCCGCTTTACCTCCTCCTTCCTTGATTAATTCAGCATTGACTCTATCCGGTTCCGTAGTCTTGTTGTTTCTCATTTTATTTATTGCCATTAACTTCGTTGAGTGTGGGTGATTATCTTTTCTTTAAGTCCGTTAGGTCTAGTGGGACGCTATTACTCTTATCTTCCAATTCACTTCTATAGTATTTCATCCACCCATGATGTTGCATTATCTTGTCTTCATCGCTACACATTGTTCTTGGTTTAAATTACCTTCGACTACTATTTATTTTTTGATAGAAGAAGAATTTTCTGCTTTCTGATAGGCTTTTTCCTTCAATGCTTTTAGGCTTATATTTTCCTGGTCCTGCGTTATTGCATTTTCCTATAGGCATCTTTTTTCTGTTCAGTTATGTTTGCACAATCTGCGTCAAACCATTTTCTTCCGACTTTGGTTCCTCTCCCCCCGTTTCTAGTAAATCTCCTTTAAATGATTCCCAGTCCTCATCGATGCTGCTTTCTTTGTATTGAGTGTGTTTTTGTTATATTTTCTTTTTAAAGCGTGTTTCCATTTAGTTCTTTAAGTTGCTGTATGTTTACTTTGCGCTTGTTTTCTTTTTTGACGTGCGCGATTCTGGCTCTTATTTTACATTCCACAAGATAGTGGTCGGAATTGGCATTTGCTCCACGTCTACCTTAAATATTCATAACGGCTAATTGGTGTCTCGCATTAATAACTACATGGTCGATCATATTAACGGTGTTACTATCCTTTCGTTAACCTTTAGATATACCAAGTGTTCCTTGCAATTGAGGCTCTTTTCCAATTTTGACATCCTCGGTATCCGTGTCGATCTCTTCATACAATAGATCTTTAATGTTCTCTTCTTTTTCCTCTTAGTCTTAATGCGCAAAGCCTTAATGTGTCTAGTTTGACTGTGAGATAATAATCAACCTAATGATAAGTCGGTGTACATTATCTCTTTAACGATTACTTTCTTTTGTTATCATTTTGAACTGCCAATCAGGAATCATTAAAATTTCCATTTTGTTGTTTCTTTAAATGAATTCTTATTGCGTTAACAATAAATACTATATGAATAAAATGTACTAATTATGTCTTCTTTATTTCTGCCCGAATCAGCTTCATACCATATAAAAACATGTGATGGCGATGACAATTTTTTCGCCTAATGGATTAAAGCGTTCATTGTAAACGTATGGAAACAGAGCAATCATACTATAGATCAGGCCATGAGATCTCAGAGTGAACATCACCAGCAATAAAGACCTGAAAGGAGAAATCAGAAAAAAATATGGATTGCTGCAGGACATAGTCAGATGTGTGCGTGACAGACGAAGAAATTGAAGAGACCATGTCGTTCAGGAATTTACTGGCGTTGAAAATGGTTTGTCGAAGATGAAAAACCGTCCGATTCAACGTATCTCCAATTATGCCCTTCCTGGAAAAAGACATATTGATCTTCATCTTCCATTTATAATAGGGCTTGGCCCTGTTCAATAGGTCAGATACTGCTGATCTCCTAATTTCATACCACTTCTTCAATGGGCATCCAGGAGGTCTGGTCATGTGGTTTCCTTCTCTCTAGACTTTTCGCAAACTATATTCTGGCATTCTCAGGACATGGTCTCTTCAATCTTAATTAAAGACCACATCGTCTTTAGAACACGTTAAATTTCTGACAAAAGCTTCTCGTATATTTTGGTTAATTAATACCATTACTGCAATCACCAGACCTGAAAATCGATATGTATTGTAGATATACATAGATGAACCTTGCTATAAACATAACTTAAATACATATTTAGATTTTACATACTAAATAATGACGTTAATTTGGATTTTATTTGTGTTAAGCCTCAATTGTATACTAACTCCTATATAATTAATTGAAATAGAAACGATCGACTTACAATAATTAACAATCTATAAATAAGAGTATGCCTTAAAAGCTAATTCGATTTAATATTTCAATACAACAGCATGAAAATATTAAATGGAAAACATGAATAGTTCCGTCCCGGTTTAAATATATAGCATCTATGTTAATAACAATAAATCGAGATTAAATTACCGGTTCTAGTTGGGCCATAAATCCATTAAGAAATTTTCAATGGTCCTCTCGCGTACGCAACAGTAATCGATAATTACACAGCTGGACGCAATAATCTTCGCCGTGAAATAGTAGACGGTGCCACTCCTAACCCCTTTTAAGATAAACCGTTGAACAGCAGCCCGTATTTCTTCTTGACGCGATTTTTCTTTTTCAATTTTCTACGCTCTCTGAGCTTGGCGATAATTAAACGAAATACGCCCACCCAGTTTATACTCCACTTTAATCTAATCCGGTCGTTATGCTATTACCGCGGGTGCTTTTGATTCTCTCTTCATTCAATTGCGCGCTCCCTATTAAAGATTACTATCTAACGATATTCGAGAGCGGATCGGAATTCAAACCTTCTGGCACTTTAACGCCCAAGAAACTACGATAATTTATTATTAACATTTTCTCTCAATCAACTATATCACTTTTTATTATTTTGAATATATCTTATTTCAGTTACAATGTTATCATTAATTAATGTAACGGTATCTTCTCGATGAATAGAGTATTAAAATTGAGGTTGAAGTCATTCAGAACTAATCTATATCTCTGGTAATATTTTAAAATAGCGATGAGTAATGTGGCAAATTGAGTGATTATTAAGATCTTAAACAGCTAATGGTAATGAAATGAATTAGAGAACAAATTATATTCTATTATACTCTATAATTATTGAGGGAATCTTTATTTATATTTTTAAAAATTTCATAATTTCAAGGTCATAGAAACAGCTTTCACACACCGTTAATAGCCGCATTGTCTATAACTAAATATGGCCATCACATTTTTCACTTTACCTTGCAATATATTGACGGCATACGCTATTGTTTGCCGCATAATCCTTTTCCAGCTCGGTTAGTATAAATCCTTGACTTGTGAACTATCATGAATTGAAACATTAACATATTTCAACTTGTTTATTGTTAAATTAACGATCTTTTTTTTGTTTTTAGGCGATACAAGTCCAAGATTAGGAAAAGTACGAAAATTCCAAAAAAACAAAGATATCTTGGAACTACCATTCACCTCCAGCGAATCCGGCTTCGAAACGGAACTTGATTGTCTCGATTCGTCTTTATCGAATACCAGCAACGAAACTGACGACTTGGTTATGAGGCTTCAAGCCAAAGTCGACGCTTTGGAGCAGGTTCTTTTAGAAAATTCGATTCCTTTACCATCGCATTTCGCGTCTGAATCGGTGAGTAGTCGGTCTTCTTCTTAAGCTTGTAGCAACCCTCTTATTTAAGCCTAATTGCAAGTATTGTGAACATTTTGTGCTGGTCTCATTAGTTCAATGTTTTTTTTTTTATTAATTGACTTAAATTGACGAAATTTCTTGAAAGGTAGAGAAGCTAAAGATAAACATCGAGATCTGACTTAATTTTTGTTTTGTAGGTGTTGATTTTTTTATCTAATTGATGCGCATTAATTTGCTTTGCTGCTTCTTAGACTTTATTATTTAATGTAGTCCCGCATTTGTAGCTTTCGTTCCTTTGGCTTCTCTATAAAATTGTTATGCTTTAATTTCTTGTTTTTAAATTGTACAAACTAACAAAAAGAATGTTGAATAAATTTATTGAATATCATTTCGTCTTTTTTTGTTTGATTTTATCCCATTCATTTTATAGAGAAGCTAAATAAGAACTAGTTTTTTTTGTGTTTTTGTGCATGATTTTCAAAATGATTTTTTTAATTAGATTAAAACCTTAATGAATGTTTGGTAAGTATACACGCTGCTTATTAAAAAATCATTTCGTTCCCACGAATTCACCTCCACAAATTCCGTTTTATTGATTTAGATGGTACCGCAGCGATTGTCCAACTGTGCCATATACCTACAAAAACCACCCTGAGGCAGTGTCAACAACCTTTCGACGATAACAACCCCACTAGTATTTCTGTTATTGTTACCATTACCGCTGGATGTCTGCGTGCTATAATAATGCTGGTTTTGATTATATACATCCACGTTGTTTGGCATTAAAACGTATTATTGAAGTTTTATGGAAACTTAATAAAATTTGTATTGTCTATTTTTTTGTTAGGATATACGTAAATTAAATGGTGCTAATCAACTAATATAACGGAAATTCTTGTTCTTATTATTACGCCCGCATAGCATGACAAAACCGGTAAACTTCTTAATGATCACCTAGGGATTGGCCGATTCGTGTAGTTTGTTCAAATTTGCGTTTTCTCGCTAATTAAATGGAAGCAATGCGTTTCAAATAGAACACAAATGCAATACAAACCTTATTTTTATGTGTAATTAAGTAACCGTATTTTATATCGCATGTTTATAAATCGTATCCACCCCACATACGTTTTTGTTCATTATCGTGTTTCGATCTTGAGGACAGGATTTTCCCGTGAATTTCCCGTAATATTCATTAATGTTTCGTAGAAGTAATGCAGAGGAAACATATCATCTTTAAAAGTCCCTTATTTTTTAACATCACCTCCGTTAAGATACCTTTATATCTTTTTTCACTCATATCTTTTTTATTAATACCGGTATTTTCGTTCAAATAGTCCATAAATCGTATTCGGTCGATTCTTTAGATATTTTAATATAAATAATGTAATATATCGAGTGTGAGGTGAATGCATAACAAAATTTTATGCACTCTATATTCATAGAAAATGCAACCCACTTTTACTTTACCCTACTATAGATGTGTGAACAAGTTTTTAAAGTTTGGGAACACATTCATCTAACACTCTCTTTATGGCAGCAATTTGAAAAACTAAACTGAAATGTTCTAAATAAGCATGATTGAGAAAGCTCTTTGTTGTCTTCGGACAATGTATTTCTCCTAACAAGAGGGTATCTTCAATATTAAAAACATAAAAGAAGTAAGAATTATACTTGTTTGGTGCATGACGAAGCAGAACTTTTTAAACGGTTGCTAATGATATAAATTTTTTTTATGATTAATAACATGGCAATGTGTATGTCCTTTGGTTAAGGAAAGTACGATACCATACCATACGCTGAAAAGAATGTCATCAATAGGAATATATTTTGCTACGTCATGTTGTGCTGAGTAAATGTGAACTATTGTGTATGAAAAAATTGCAATTACCTTATATCGTGCGTGGTGCGGTTTAACACTACAAGAAAAATCTTGTAAAAATAATGTTAAAATATTACTTGTAATAGATTTTTATGGAAGGAGGGTAAAAAATGAAAGGTTGCATTCACGAAACCATTACAGTATCATAATTATGGTTTCTTTTATTAAGTTTACCTTCCGCTGCGTTGATAAACTAGAAATTTCTACCATTATTAATGTATCTGCCTTGATTCATTAGAAATATTTATTTTAATACTAACTGGTTGTTCTGCGAGTTGTTCCTGCACATTAAATAACACGTTAAGTAAAAAATCATCGTCACTTCCACGATATATATTATATTTTAAACGAAAAAAATTTATTTAATTAAACTGGTTTTTTGTTTAGTTTTCATTTGTTAATTAAAAAAATTCAAATTCATTTTTTAATCATTTGTCAAATTCTGTTAAGAGACTTATCTATAATATAATATAGAAGATTAGAACTGAGGAAAGTATCACTTTTAAAGAAGGCATCTACAAATAAGACTACACTGCCTTTATAAGATAAAGAATATATTTTTGTCCACCTAAATTATAATTGAAATCTCCTTGGGGCAGAATCTTACTTAAATTCCTTCCTGCTTCCTGTAGTTGTCGACTTTCGCTGGAAGAAGAATGTTGTTGAAACCCAGCTTACATTTTCTTAAAAGTTTCCCGCATATCTTCTGAATCATTTTATCACATCACTACTTGTTTAATAAAACTTGTATGATTTACATTGGTTATTGACATAATAGATATCATCTCCGGAAATTTTTACTGTAGCTGTCTACTTTCGCTGGCAACAGAATCTTGTTGAAATCCAGCACACATTTTTTGAACGTTTCCCGCATTAGTTCTGAATCATCCCATCACAACATACCTGTTTAATAAAACTTGTATGATTTACATTCGTTATTAATATAATAGATTACATATAAACATATGTTCGGAAATGCTTCCTGTAGTTGTCCATTTTTGCCCAAAATATACTGGATTTTGGCAAGACTGCTGCCAGAACCTTTTTTGAACATTACCTGCACTTATTGTGCCTATAATTGTTCACTCTCACTGGGGACAGAATCTTGATTTAAATTCAACACCTGGCCTTGAAAGTTTATTACACTTCTTCTGGTTCACCCGTTGCAACGCTACTTCATTAATAAAAGTTGTAGGATTTATATTTAATAATAATAGTAATAAATACCTTTAGTGACCAATAACAAAGTTGCAAAAAATAAAAAAATCTAATAAAGTAAGTAAACTACATAAAAAAATATTAAAATAAAATATACATAGTAATTGATGAATTGGCGAAGTTCAGATTACGAGATATAAAAGAAACAAAACATAATCATATAATGTAAGCAAATCTAACATAAATCAATTCAGTTCACCATGGCGACATAATAGGACTTAGATTACGTATTTTGTACACTAGATGTGCGTTTTGTATGATCAGGGCAAGAATTATACAGGGAGATTTTCAACCTCTACGCATAAACTTGGGGATTTATTCCTCATGAGACATAATGAATAACAGGTGAAAAAAATTGTAGCAAAAGTTGTTTAGTTTCCTAGATATCCATAAAATTTACTTTCAAATCAAGAATACATATAAGATTTTAAAATGACCTTAAAGCTAATCTTCCAAGTTGTTTCCAATATTACGATATCCCACTAGCGCGGCCTAAACCAAGGTGTTGGCGGATTGTCTCGGCAGCAGTTTGTATCTGATTTAGCAATCCTTGCTCAGTAGTCACTTCGTTAGCTGCAATGTTAAATGTGTTAACCACTGTATGCCATCCTCAGTATCAGCCAAGAGGACGGCATCATCTGCATAGCACTCAATCTTCATTTTGTAATCATTATTATCATAGTGTAACCGTAGTTTACATTACATTCCTTGTAATGTTTGCTCTGTTCTAATTCTTTTATCCTTACTTTGTCGAACGTTGAAGAAAGGCCGTCTAATGTTTTCTCGCCGGAGTTCTATCTGATTCTTTTTGATGCTCTCAATATTTTCCTCAACATTGTGTGATCCGTACATATCATTCTTTATCTCGTCAGTAAATTTCGCCATGCATCATTTGTATAGGCAACTCTTGCAATCAGAAGGACGTGAGCAAACGACACACTCAAATGTATGTACAAATTTTTTTGCAGAAGATGAAATAAGTATGGTGGTATCAGTTCTAAACAGATACGTTAATTTGGTGTTGCTGTGTAAGATAATTTCTGGAAGCAAGGACTGTACGCTTTAGAGATGATATAAACCGGCGGCCTAAACCAGGGTGTTCGCGGATTGTCTCGGCAGTAGTTTGTATCTGATTTCGCAATCCTTGTTCAGCATTAACTTCGGTAACGTACACTATGCTTTTTAAGTGACCCCAATAGCCTTCCAGGAAGCACCTCATCTAGATATCACCGTATATATCGGATATCTATGAAACTAAAAATCTTTTCCTACATTTTTTTTCACCTGTTACCCATTATTTGTCTCGAGGAATAAATCCCCAAGTTTATGCGCATAGGTTGAGAATCACACTGTATAAGGATGCAGCGTTGTACGAACAGGATCTTATTTGTTTTCAATGCGATATATCCGGAAGTGATTTATATATGTAGCTACCCATCCACTCTCACAAGGGGCTGATATTTCGAAAAACCACGTACATTATTATTATCAATCCCTAAGAATATTATTAATGTGATGTTTAAAGTGATACTAAGTTTGTTTTTATCAAGGTTTTGATGATTTTGACACACAGCAGTTTAAATTTTAAAGACTAAGGTTAAACTAAAGCTCTCGATTAAAAATGGTGTTTGTCATAACATATTTCACAGACATTTAAAATAGATTAAATCAAGATAGTTGGTTTAAACCAAACAACATATAGTCTAAGATTTACACCTGTACACTTTTTCATTGATAGCACAGCTACTATGTGTCAGATTGTTTCCTGTCATAACAAGAAACAGAAAAAAATATTTTTCTGTCAACATGTTGGCGGTTGTCATTTCACGTTTCACTTTTTCTTTTGTTTACTAACTTCGATCTGAATTGTTCCATCTAAATCTTTTTTTGTACTAGTTGTCATTCCTAATTTACTCTCTGTTCGCACAACGTGAACTCCAACTTTTGTACCACCTTTTCGGGGAATATCCAAGAATTTTGCAATTTCTGTTATGGAAATCTTCCGACGCGATCTCTCCATCCTCATCGTATACAACGCGCCTGACTATGTTCTGCACCAATATTTCTATGATGTCTTCGCTTCTTATGCTGGCAAAGGAAATGTTAGCCAACAATTGCTCCATGGGTTTACAACTCTGTAGTTCTGAGAAGCCTATTGGTTATGGTGTTTTCCGTCCTTGTTTTAATGCCATATATCATCGCCGGTCTTACCATCGTATTATAGATCTTCACCTTATTTTTAGTTTACTCCATATTGCATCAAGGACCCACCCCGATACCATCGTTGCTCTTATTCTTTCAGGTCTTTATTGATTCAAATAATGCAATTTTTGTGGATTGAGCTTTCTGCACTAAGGTTTCCACAGTATACTTCTTTGCCAGCTTCTCGAATTTACTCATTCTTTAGACGCTATCTTTGTTTTCAGACATCAAGACTGCTTATCATACTGCTTACCACGCCTCGTTTCTTCATTTATTTCGATCATTACTAGATTGAAAGAGCTGAGGCTATCTTCCTACATCATTCCCGTTTCATTAGGTATACCTATCGTGAGTCACTCCTCTGTTCTTACATGAGTGCATACAATATTTGGTTGTATGCGTCGTTTCTCTAGCAACGCTCCAACTTTATGGCGTTCTCAATTATTTGTCGGATAACGAGGATTGCATCTACAGTTGACTTGTTTTTTCTGCATCCCTGTTGTTCGCGGATCCCAGTTGCTGTTATTTCTTCTAATAGCATCCATGTTGAGTACGTCTGCTTGAGAAGTTTCTTGGTTTTCCTCGTTTTCTGCATGACTTCCTACAGTTTTTTGAAGTATTTTTCCGCATTTATCTTTATGGTCTGTATGAACTCGTTACTGGCTTTTTTCTGGTTTATTCTGTTTTTCACTACATTGTATTCTTCATATGTTATTGCAACTGATTAATTCTGTAAACAGAATTTTCATTTTTCCATAGCTAGGTCCTTCACTTCTTTAGTAAACGAAGGCTTTGTGTTGAGTCTTGCATTTCCTGATGTGACTCTTCTCCATAATGTTTTCTCTGCTGTTTTAATCATACTTGAGCGTATAGTTTTCTTATGCTGTTTCAGTGTCGTTGTGATCCTATATTCTGCTCGTCAACATTTATACCTGAAGTAGCCGCTGGTATAGATACTAGGCTGAATCATCCTCCAGTGATTCTACGTTTATGTTATTACTTTTCCTTGCTACTCTGTCTATTCTGCGACTGTTTATTACTAATACCTGGTTATTAATTAAAATCTTTATTACAACATTGTTGATAGTTAGTCAACAAGTTTCGGCTACTGCCATGATAATAAACACCTAGGTACAAAAATGAACTATTATTTTAATACATTTATAAAGTTTTTTTGTTATTATTTTTTATAGTCATTACCTTTCAAGTAATATGTTTTACTTTGGACAATAGAAACAATTCAACAATAATGTTCGTCGAACCTAAATGTTAAACAAAAAAAGAAACTTTGGTTTCACCAACAAAAAACTTTTCAATCCCACTCCTTAAAAAAAACATGTAAATTAAAACCGTTCCTTTTTATCTACATAGCGTATTGTGATGTATTAACATCTCATGAATATGCTGCATCACAACCGATATTTTATTTTCTTTTTGTACTAGATTTCTCAATCTCTAAGGAGTACGTCAAAATGGTTTCATAATGTTTTCACTTTAAACCCATCCCGGAAACAGTCTCTTAATTATCTCCATCACCTACGCATCTTGTAATTTTTTACGCCCTTGTCGACCAAGTCCGATTATTGAAATGTGATTTATTCTACACCGACTCAAGTGACTCTCCCATTTCGCTTCGACAACAACTTGAGCCACAGTTTACCGTCTGTGCTCTTATAGAGTGGTAATGATGGAAGACGCTATTATGTTACTCTCTTATTTAAACGTCTTTTCTAATCGGGTATGTAACAATAATTAAGCTTAATTGAAGTTTTAGTGTACGTTGTAAAAGGAAAGTTGTGTTGAGTGAATTTAAAAGTCGAGGAAAAGATGGATATAAGTATTCATATGTCGATGATGGATTACTTGTTTTATCGGTATTATAGTTGTTGATTGATTCTTTAATTTCTTTATAACAAGGTTGTTATCATTCTTTGCGTTGAGGAGTTTACTCTTGAAAGTTGAAATTGAATTGCTATGTTGGTTTTCTAAATTCTTGTACATTAATTGGGAAAGTGAACTCTTTTTTTTGAATTTCTATCGCTAACATGTGTTACTACCAGCTTTGCTTTTCTTCCTCGACAACACTTTGCTCTACTTTAGCTGGATCAAAGTTATATTATGTTTAATCCAAACAACTATGGGTTATTTCACTTACAAATACCCATCAATAATCATTTAAAAAGCGTAATATTCTCAAATGTTTCCAATCCGGTTCTGATATCGTTGCTAAAAGGTCAACCAGGTTACGATTAAGATTAAAGTCTATTTTGCGTGGCAAATCATTTTCACTTATGACATCATGTGTTGTGAATGTTATTGTTAAGTTTAATCTTTAAGGTTTCATTACCTGTATATGGTATAAAATAATGTATAAGTATGTAAAAATTATAATCAAAAATATTTCATTTTCAGGAATCGGATTCCGCACTACTCAAAGTAAAAAAACTGACCGGCAATTCAGACGATATCGAACGTCTTCTGATCGATCTAAAAGATGACATTCAACGATTGTACCTGAAAAATACCGCCAACGAAGACGTAAAACGCATAAACGATAATTTCGAACGACTTGTATCGACGGGATTGAATGTCGGCCCTGTTACTTCATCAGTGTCGACACCCGAAATTATTACGCATTTTGAAGCCTTTAAAAAACAAACGAACGATGCCTCCACTGAAACGGAACCTAATAATAAACGAAATTTCCAACCGAATGAAATCGATCCACAACAAGATCAATTGTTGAACGAAAGGCTTAAAAAAATCGAAGAAGAAAATGAAGCACTAAAGAGTAAATGCGAGGAGTTACAACAGTGTTTACAACAGCTCGAAAATGAATACGTTAATTGTGAAAAGTATTGGGAAAATACGCTTGAAGAGGAAAGGAAGGTTTTTGAACAAGAACAGATACAATATAGCGAGCATTTGAATCAATTAACTGGAAAAATCGCTGAATACGAGGAGGAATTCGTTGAGAAGAAAAACAGATTACCACCAATCGAGGAAAAAAGAAATTTAGAAGAACAATTTACAGATTTAGAACAAGAATTTGAAGATTATAAAGATTCGGCAGAATTCCAACTGGATGAAAAAGATCGAGAAATAGCCGACTTAAAAGAGAAACTTGAAGAAGTCGTCAAAAACGAAAAAGAACTCACTTCAATTTCGATTCAAACCGAAATTGAACCAAAATCATACAATTTATCAAACCACGTGGTCGAATGCACAAACTTATTCTCCTCAAACACCATGCCTTATCCTTTATCAGTTCAAGATAAATCAACCCAATTATCAGAAGATTCAATCCCAATTAATTTAATACCACCAAACAATTCTTCTTCAACTTCAGTTTGGAATCAACAAGAAAACTCCGAACCAATGATGATTCACCACAATTTGGATACCACAACTTCACTCCCAGCAACAGTATCATTCCAAACACAAACCAATTTTTCAGAAGAAAATGTCGAAGTAAAACAATCGCTTTCAATGTACGACCTTCCATCGACATCAACAGAACCGGCACGTTCATCTTCTTCGCAAAGGATTGCAGCGCCGTTACGACCGAAAAGAATGAGAAAACACGACAAAGCGAGTCAGAGACTTTATAGCAAAAAAACGCAAGATGTACCACATCAACACCATCAAAATGAAAATGAAAACGGTGCGAAATATTGTGTTAATGATAGGGTTGTGGTACCGTTGGATACGTTGCATAATATGAACGCTAGGATACATCATTTGGAAATAAGATGTAGGCAGTTGCAAATGTTTATTAAACAACAACATTTTCATGCCGATCAAGTTCTACAACGTAAGTAATAAATCATTATTTAAAAAATAGTACGCGTCATAAGTACCATGAGCCGAAATACGTTGATTTTTATTTTTTTAACCCAAATAATTTAGTATAAAAAATTGTTGGACCCCTGGAACATCCTATACATTATTGATATTAATTAATAAAAATTCCAGAAAAATGCGTCACACTCAACTTTTGAAAGACGCCCGAGCTCTTAGATTTCTTTCAGGACAGTCAATCAGGTAAAAATCAGTCATTGCAAGACCGCGTACCGATATTCATACCGCTCGTTATTTACCTGGTTGCTTGTCGTGCGCGAAATCTAAGAGGTTGGGAGTCCTTTAAAAGTTACGCGCGTCGTATTTTTCTCGAATTTTTATTTATAAATATCATAAAAACTAATTAACCAATATTTGATTGGGGGATTACTTTTGACGCGTACTGTATGTTACACACGTCGAATTCTACACGATCCTGGTTTAGTATTTTCGTAATGTTCCATTGACTCATATTGGTCAATTGCATGTTATTACTTTGCTGACATTTCTCCTGACAGTCTCAATAGTCTTCCACGCTTGCGAAACTCTTGTTCTACCAATGTGTCTATCTAACTCGGCACAATTTTTCTCCCACATTTAATTTTTGCTACGTGTTATTTCGCTTTTCACGTGTTTTCTACTGTATTGTGTATATGTTACAGACCAAACCCGATTTTAGGATGAACTAGTTTCGCCTAGGCCATACCAGTTCTCCCTACACGCGATAAGACAAACCAGTTTAGCCTAGGTCGAATCGGTTTATCCTCGTTAGAATTTCCATGCTTTAAGATAAACTGGTACGTCCTAGTCTGAACTAATTTCACCTAGTTTGTATCTTCTATAAGCTTTTCAAAGTAATCTGAATAAAAGAATAGAAATAAAATAGTCAATATGATTTATTAAAGTTATTTATTAACTAATCAGTAATTTTACATCTATCACTAGATCAACTTATATTCATCTACAGAAATCACCTTATCTGTAATTTCCTTATTTACTTATTTTTGCAAGGTTTACTCTCGCGGCACTTAGAATTTCAGAGTACTTTGCTTTTCTTATAATTGCATTTATTTTGTTTGTTGTACAGTTTTTCATTCAACTGCATTTCACGAAGCTTTGCCCTGATCCAACAGAATGTTCTGTGGCTGCAGTCCTTAAAGATATTTCAATATCCTGGTTAATATCTCCCACATCTAAAAACTGTCTGCAGCATTCAGAAGTTCGAAATCAGTTCTAAAAAAATAAAAAAGAAGTTAAAACAAATATTTTTAATATTTTATTACAGAAAATTATGGAAAATTTTAATAAAATTATATCTGCAATAATGTTTTTGAAGTACGCCATGTTTGGCGTACTTCAACTTTGTAAAGACCCTCATTAGTCTTTTGAAGTATTACTCCAATTACGTTTCGAAGGTCATCTCTGCCTTTGTCTACATCTGTCTCCAATGTTAGCTGGTAGATGGGATTTGTCAGAGGAAGCTTTCATTATTTTAGTTTGTTTTTCTAAATTTTTTGGCGCAATTTTTCTAGCATTTTGAATATCGTTTGTGTCAATTTTCACAATGTTATCATCATCATTGTCTTCGTACTGTTCTGTATTGTTGTTATCTTCGATTGCCTTCTTTAGGTCATCTTCATCCTGAATATTATTTATGATTTCTTGAGGTAACGACTAAGTGGAAAGTCCTACTGTAGGTTCGATTCCGAATAATGCTTTGTAAGGTGATTGTTTTATATCAGAGTAGAAAGCTCGATTTTTCATAAATTGGACATACCTTAATCCTTTCGACCACTTCGTCGAATTGTTATCCTTTAACCAAGAACTTATCATATTTTCAATGTCTTGGTTGGCACGTTCAACATAACCCTGACTTTGGTTGTGCCTTGGTTTTCCATGCACAATTTTCAGTTCTGACCAAAGATTTGCGAGTTCACTTATAACATTATTGACAAATTCTCTGCCATTATCAGATTGAAAAATGCACGGCGCCTCTACAGTTAGGAATATGTCATTCAAATGATAAGCCACTTCTTCAGCCCTCATTGATGTTAACGCACGAAGGAGAACAAATTTTGTGAGATGGTTTTGGTAAACCAGAATGAATTTAAAATTCCCGTCTGGTTGTATTTGGAAATCAGTCAAATCGACTTGGCATCTGCTATTCATGTCCGAATGAAGAATTAATTGGCTTTGAAACTAATCCTCATTTCTTTTTTGTCTTCTTTTGTTGACAAACATCACACATTAACAAATAGAGGCCTATCATTTCTTTTATGATATTGGCATATTTTTTTGATGTCTCGGCCAACATCCTATCACGACCACCGTGACCCAGAGCTACATGAGCTACGTCAATCACATTATAAAGTTCATCAGCTCTAAGAAAGTATTTTATATTCACTTCACACCGTGCGATGAGTTTTTTCACATCGCCAATTTTCAAAACAGCAAATTGTTTCAGTCTTCTTTTTTGTAATGATGTTCTTTTTTCCAACTTTTCCGCGTCTTCTACTTGTTTAACCAAATCCGCATATTCGTCTGCTAACACATTATAATGAGAAACCTTTTTGTTTTCACTCTGCAAAATTTCCTCCAAATGCTTTTCTCTCTACAGCTTTTGATTGGCTTCTCTACTACACGAAGCCTCATCCATGATAAAACGCCTCACAATAATTATACTAGGACTATAATAAAATCTTTTAAACGTAACCAGTAACTTAACACGCGCACTCGTCGATGCAAAATACCGTTCAAATCAACGAACAGGGTGAGCGAAGAGCGGTTAGGTTAGATTGATGGGTGCAAGGGGCGAGCCAGAGATGATTCGGGGACTCCCCGTTCGTAGAGACAACGACATGCGTTCCGACTAGGTGAAATTAGTTCAGACTAGGACGTACCAAGTTATCCTAAAGCATGTAAATTCTAACTAGGATCAACCGATGCGACCTAGGCTAAACTGGTAACAGGATGAACAAGTTTGGCCTAGGCTATACTGATTTGTCCTATCGCGTGTAGGGAGAACTGGTTTGGCCTAGGCGAAACTAGTTCATCCTAAAATCGGGTTTGGCCGGTAACATATACATATATTTGTCTGTTAGTACTGTCCTGAGTATTTAGCCAACGTTGATAAACGTTTTCTACTATCCAACCAATTTTTGAAACTTTGCTGACCGCCAATCGGCGTTTCTTTCATTTGAAGCCTCTTTGTAACACAAGGTTGCTAGATGTATATATTTTTTTAATTTTTTATTTATTTGCTCAGCTTTTTCATTCACTACTAGAACTATGTGTAATTTGTTTGCTAGAGGAAATTTATACAGGAATTGCACGGATTCTTGCCTAAATGTTTTCAAATTAAATTTACATCTGCCTAATTTACTTCCTTTGTTTTGATTTTGGCTTTCCTATTCAAGATCCTTCTGTAATTTACTACCACCTTTTGCTATTACTACATAATGATAAATGACCACGATAAGCTCTTAAATCTATTACTTTAAGTCTAAAATGAACTGTAGTTTCGGTACAGTTCTCCAGTTGGTTGAGTCCATGTAAATGAATGGACATCCTGCTGTGGAAAAGCTCTTCCTACCACCGAGTCATTTTCTTCCCTTCCAGTCCTGGCTTAAGGTAGCCTAAGATGTAAACTTTCTTGTAATCTTAACATCGAATAAATTATTATACAGCCCGTCATAAAATTCTACTTTGATTTGCTTCTCCGCATCTTCACTTGGAGCGTATATATCCTTTCTTCTTCTTGAGGTGCCTATCCAATGCAAAAGTTGGCAATTATGATTTTGTTGACAGCAGCTTGAAATTATTCTGCTGAAGTTTTCCTAAATCAAGTTCTTAAGTTCCGCAACCACAAGACTCTTCTGCCGAATCCTCTATTCCATTGACTTTTCGTTGCATTCTGAATTAGAGCAGAGAATATTGGCGTTAATTTCTCATGACATGTCCCAGGTATTCGAGTTTTCTGCGTTTGATGGTATACATGATTTCCAATTCCTTGTTCATTTTTTGTAGCAAGGGAAGTCCATGGTATTTTGAGCATTCGTCTATATAGCCAGATCTCAAAGGATTTCAGTTTGTTAGTTGTGGTTTCTGTCAAGGTCCATAATTCCATGCCGTATTTTAGATGAAAAATTTTTGAAAATGTTCACGCTTTTCCCAGAGATTGTTATCAGGTTTATTTTCTTTGCTGAGTATCATCTGTTTTATTTACTCCGTCAAGTGCTATATTAAAATTTTTTTCTGAGTATATATTGAATATGAACGGCAAGAGAATACAGCCTTGTCTAACTCTACGCAATATCTTCACTTCCTCTGTTTATTCTATATCAAGTCTCATATATGTAGTCTGGTTCCAATAGGCGCTTGAAATTATTCTGAGGTCTTTGTCATCTAATTTAGCTCGATCGAACGCTTTTTGGTATCTGTTAGACACGCATATACGTCAAAGTTACATCTCTATATCTTCAGATTTAGGACTTTAACACCAAATAGTGCTTGTTTAGTGCCTACTGCGTTTATGAATCCGATTGACACTTTTCCGAGATATTTCTTGAATTATAGACATTGTTAAAAATTGATTATTCCTTTTTCGTCTAGTAGTTTTTAGACTTCAGTCTTGATATTATATGGTCCTATTGTTTTTCTATTTATGTTCATTTCTTTTATTGCTGTCTCTACCTGATATTTCAATATGTTGGGATCCGTTATTACTTCTGAGGCTGCGTAATTGGCTTCCGGTATTTGATTATGGAATGTCTAGTTCAGATATAATTTCCACTTATTTTTAACATCTTGTTTGTCTATAATTAATTTCCTGTTTGAGTCCATGATTTTCATTTGCTGTCGTTTCCGAAATATTCCCCTTATTTCTTTCACTTTTTTATGGAAGTTAAAATTGTCATTTTTGACCTTTAGCAATTCTATTTCTGCAGATCTTTCTGCCTTTCTTTGTCTGTTTCTTTTTGTATTCCTCTTTATTTCCTTTAAGTTTGTCATCCATTTCTTTACCGCTTCTACTATCTTCTCAAATTTATTAATTTCCTCTTGTATGATGTTCCCTTCTTTTATTTGGTTACTCTTTTCATTTCTTGAAATCATCTTTTACTTTACTAGGAGGTGTTGAAGAGTTGTCATATCTTATTTAATTCCAACTTTTTTCTTTAATCTCACATTCATGACTCTTACCACACACTCAATCAGACCACATACCCTTGGGTGTGATTCCATATCTGCTCCCAGATAAGTTCTAACTGATATGAAAGAGTTTCTGTATCTTCCATTGATTGTAATATGTAATCGATATGGTTTCTGACGATATTTTCTGGTTTATCCGCTGACGACTTCCATGTGTATAGTCTCCTTAGTGGTAATTTATGGAATGTGTTTAAGACCAATAGCTCATTATCCTCTACAAAAGGTCTCCTCTCTCATTTCTTTGTTCTCAACGGTCCAATAAGGTCTGTTTTCGGTCCTGCTCCTAGTTTGGCATTAAAGTCGTCCATTATGATGTTGATTTCATGTTTGGGGAATTGTTATATGATATATTTGATACTTCAGTACAGCCTCTCAATTGCGTTATCATTCCTATCTGCAGTGGGAGTGTATATTTTTTGTACTATATTGATATTTACTGGATTACTATGAACACCTATGTGCTCTTCTTTATCAATGCGTCTTGCTTCAGGCAATCTCATTTCGCTGATGCCCATGACATCAATGTTCCAGTTGGCAGACTTACTCCAGAAACATATTTAGTTCTGAACATTACCATATGATTTTAACCAGGACTATCCCGTAGGATTTTTAATGTAGTGGTTGTCCTCTGCTTACCATATCCTTATGTTGTCCATATTTATCAAGCTCTTATGCACTGCTATCGATACTCCTTTTGCCTATTGCACTCTTGTTTACCCTATTATAAATGTGGATGCAGTCACCTATCACATTATTCTGCCCCCTTTCTTCAAAACCTTCCTCTTGCTTGTTTCTAACACATCGCACATTCCAGATAACCAGCCAATCTCATAGTCCGCTTCTTTTGCTTAAGTTGTAATACGTTAAATCCATCCCTATTATCTAAAATATTTAGAATATTTGAATGATCTGAACTTGGAGGATATGATGTTGGTCAGCTATGTTTCAATTTTGAGACGTTAACTCTAACTAAAGTCTCATATGATTTAATACTTTATTATTTAATACAAAATCAATAAACTGATTAATTTTATTTATTAAAATGTTTAGATTCCTGGCAAACACATCGCGAAGAAAAACTTCAATTACAATTCGCATTAAAAACAACTCAAGAAAAATTAGAGCGCCAGTTTCGAATTTGTAACGAACAACTGGAGCGTTTGGCCAAAAATGATATGTTAGTGAAAGATATTTATGTAGAAAACGCTTTTCTTGTCGCCAATGTCCAAAGATTAGAACAAAAATGTAACCTGCTGTCGCAATGTAATGCAACAAATTCTGTTTAAATATCAATCAAATGACGATAGTAGGTTTTTACGTAACCTAAAAAAGCTAAATAATAAAATCTATTGTGCCTTCTTTCTTCTATTATTATTATTTTTTTATATGTTTTTGTGCATTTACTCTTACGCGCTTCTGTTCGCAACGGAAAAGTGAACGCGTTATGTTATGTTACTTACAATGTCATATCATATTGATATCGATCGTAACTCGTACATATATTTATACGTTGTGTACATTTTTGACCTATTGTTGTTGAGGATTTGAATGAAAACTACCTACCTGAGTATGTAATAAGTTTAGGATGTAAGTTTTTGGCGTATTTACGACCCCCCAGTGGATTGTTGAAGATAGAGGAAGTTACAATTAAGATTTGTACATTTAACTTGGAGGTAAATCGTTTTTTTTTTGTTATTTACATATCACTTAAAATATGTACTTTTTCCAAAGAAGTTTTTTTTTCTGTTATTTTTATCCTCATCATTATTATTATTTACATTATTTGCATCTAACTAAAGTGTCATATGGTTTAATACTTTAGTATTTAATACAAAATCAATAAACTTGCATTACTGATTTAATTGTTTCTTTTATTTATTATTTAGCAACAAAGAAATCCTTTTGTTTAACAACTATTTAATTTATTGTACACTTTAATGAAATAATTAAATAAAAAAATACAAATTGTAAGTAGTTAAGCTATTATTTTAGGGCCATTATTACTAATGTTCTATGTGTTATTAGAAAATTGGTAAAACTGGACCATTAGTAATTAGCGAAAATGACATTTATTGTTTATATAAAAATTTAAAACGTATTAATCTTAAGTCTAAACACATCGAACAACAGTTTGTTGTAAATCTTAACGTCTTAAATCTAAAACATCTTGAACCGAGCTTGAAATTTGATTTTTTTATTTTCGTGTCACGCTTTTCAATCGGTTTTTTCTTCGAAAATGAAGGGATATTTACAAATTATACAACAAGATTTTTCTACATCACGCGACTGAAACCTTGGAGTTTTTCTCAGGCACGTTTTCTTTCATTTATTTTCAGCTCTACATTATTCGTTTTGTTTTTAACTTCCGAAAGACGTCGATTTTGTTTCGAACACATTCAAATTTCTTTATCCAGATTTTTAATTAATAAAATTAAAGATACATTCCGTTCACCAAATAATCAGCATCATGAGCATAGGATTTTCCACCTCTACGCATTCGTCGTCGAACAACTCTTAATCGACAACCAATTAATATTGCCATTAAACAAGTGATAATTAATCCTTAAATCAGATAAAATTATGATTTATTTTAGGAAAAATTTAAGCTTACCTAATGTTAAAGATAAAATTGCACCACCAGGCGCTTCCGCCAATCCATCTTTCATTTCCAATCGTTCAGCTATAACATCAGCAACAACAAATTTGCTAGTACTCCTTTCATGATTTCCGCTTATCGCCACTTTTTGTTCGTTATCTTTTCTAACTATTGTTTTACTTTGCTCTTTTGAGTGTTGTTTAAGTTCGTGAGCCATTTTATCTTGAACATGTTGAGGATTTTTTTCCTCCTCTGCATCCCAATTTTGTATGGGCGATTCCTGTGGAGTTTTTTGTGGTATTGCAATTTGTGGAGGATTTAATTGCGGGGGAAACGGTCCTGTTCTGTAACTTATACCTAAATTTCAAATAATGTTAATATATTGGTTATTTATTTCTTTTGTAATAAATATTTTTTTACCAGCAGGAGGACTTTGAGGCCAATTATCTAGAACTTGCTGAATTGGTTGTCTATAAGCGTCTCCGTAATATTTAGGATAATCATGTGTGTTAATTTCGCCGTATTGTTGTTGGATTGGACTAAAAATTAAATTACTTTATTAATATTTTATTTAAAATTAGTATATTAACATTTTTATGTATGTATTCGTGGAGTTTAAAGATTTAAGTAGGTAGATTTTCTTTGTAAGTTTAAAGAATGGGCTGAAAGTAGCAAATAAAAGCTACATTAATTTTGTATGTTCCGTATGAGATTATCAGTACAGTTATTGTCTGTTTCATATTATACAAATCAAATGCGTTAAGTTAGAAGATATTGGAGTAGATAATTATGTACGATTTCTACAATACCATTTTTAAATTGTCATTAGAATTCGTCATTATAACAATTAGAGTCTAGAAATGTTTCACCAGAATGGGTTTAGAGTTAACTATGGTGATCTCAACGATTAAATTAAGGACTATCTAAAAGACACTATTTGTATGGATAGTTTTTTGTCCATCATATGTAAAAATGACCGGATTGTTGTATGGTTAATAAGACAAGTGAACATATTTTTACGTGATAATTCCAGAACTTTTCTTAGACATAAAATATCTTAATGCCTCATTTCTTTTGGGAAACTTTAAGTTTTGACTTGATAATCACTTTTGATGGTATCACATTTTTTTATCTTTCCGAGGTTTACTTCTTTGTGCCATTTTTATTAATGTTACAGATTCTTCTGGTAGTGTTTATGTTTGGGTTTATGACTTAGTGGATTTCAGCTAAGATAGTCGCCATATGCGTCAGCTAAACTTAGTGCAAAAACGTGATTGTTGTGTCAAGCTCACATAATATTGTCCCAAGTCGGTGTTGGATAGATGGATAGTTTTGGATTGCAATAATTTAAATATCCCAACAATACAGGGTGTTTCATAATATATGCGCAGGACTTCAGGATGAGATAGCTTGTCCAAAAATTTGAAAAAAAGATTCTATCAACTTACTCTCTAAAATGCACCATTCGTGATACAGGGTGTTGAAATTTAATTAAAAAAAAATCGTTTATTGCGAATATCTCCGGAACCGTTTATCGTACAGAATACAGCGTTTGTAAGCATTTTTTACTCTTAATAAGCTAAGTTTTGTGCGAGAACAAATTTTTTTAAAGTCATAATTAGTGAAGATTTTGAAGGGGTTCTACCCAATTCTACGCAACTTCTATACCACTGGAAAATATACGGTTTTGAGACGCCCATTTGAACCATCCATGTTTTCTACACAAAAGAGTTCTGTAGGTCATGAGCTTTAAAGTTGACCGTTTTCTAGAAAAATCTACTTTTATGTTGAATAACATGGTTAATTTTTTGAAATGAAAATTTTATTTCACAATTAAACAAAATTTATGTAAACGTTAGAACAAGTAACAAAAAAAAATAAAGAAAATGAAAAAATGTAACGCATTTTGCACATTTCAGCGTTTGTGTAAAATATTGTATAATTTATTCTTAACAAGTAGGCTTTAAATTTTATAACAAAAGCTACCTCGTGTCAAGATAACAATTAGTTTGTACCTGCAAAAAGTAAACTTGTATTACAAAATTAAAAATGAATTACACAAATACTGAAATGTGCGAAATGCATTACCTTTACGGAATGGCGTGTGGTAATTCGACAGAAGCAAGGCAGTTGTATCAAGAAAGACATCCTAATCGCCCATTACCACACCATAACTTGTTTCTACGCATTCACCAACGACTATGGGAAAATGGAAGTTTTAAAAGAAATACTGCTGATTATGGGCGGCCTATGAAAGTTGCAAATCCCCAAGTAGAAGAGGCTGTCCTCAACGAAATTGATGAAAATCCGACCACAAGTACCAGAAAAATTGCTCACAACTTAAACCTATCTCACTCGACGGTCTGGAGAATTTTGCAAAAGCAGATTTTCCCCCAAGATTGGCTTTTTGTACATAGATGCAAGACAAAATAGCTCAAAATCCTGAGTTTGGAGCCGAAGTTCTGTTTACCGATGAAGCATCGTTCTCGAAGAATAGTATTTTCAATTTTCACAATAACCACATATGGGCAAAAGAAAATCCACATGAAATTGCAGAAGGCCATCATCAGCAACAATTTTCCGTAAATGTTTGGGCTGCCATCGTCGGTGATCATTTGATAGGCCCACATTTTTTAACTGATTAAACGATGCAGATTATCGACAATTTCTAAAAGAAGTACTGCTGGAAGATGTACCGCTTCAAGTAAAACAAAACATGTACTTTATGCATGATAAAGCTCCGGCCCACTTTAGTTTGGTTGCTCGCCAATACTTGGACGACGAATACCCAGACCGTTGGATCGGTCGAGGAGGCTTGGCCACCGCGATCTCCCGAACTCAATTGTTTAGATTTTGTCTTTTGGGGCCATCTGAAAACCTTAGTAGGAAAATTGGATCGCATAAAAGTTCGTATGGTTCAAACAGAGGTAAAAATTTGTACTTCGTATTGTTAATTATAATTGAATTGATTATTTCTTACAGAAACAATACATGTATATTCATAATTGTTTAGGAATATATTACAAATCCAAAGAAAAGAGAAAGTAATTTTTTTTAAATTATTGATAATCCTAAATTTATTTTGTTTTATCAAAACAAACTGAACCAATCTACGAAAATATAACAAAAAAAAATGATGATGAAATATCGATTAAAGTTATTAAGGATATAGATTAAATTAATAGCTTATTTTTTAGCAACTGCATAATTCAGAGAGTTAATTTGTAATATTTAAGTGTACATTTAATTTAAATATATTTAAAATATAGTATTTATTTTTGTTAGGTACATTCCATAGAATAAATATAGTTTGTTAAAAATGTAGTGTTTATTTGTGTTATATAAAAATTAATACTGATATCATAAAACTGAGGTAAGTTACATTTAAAGCAGTCTTTTGGATGTGTTTTTTATAGTTTATGGCACAGCCTAAACAACAATATGTGCAGGGTCTGTCAGGACGATCTGAGTATATATGTATATGGCTCTATTTTTTTGAAAATTTGCATAGAGGGTTTATTCAAGTAGCTCGTCTTCTTTTATTATCTGTCTAACACCCAGTTAGACAGCCCATGCGTCGAAGAATTACTGCGTGCAAGCTAACGGCGGACATTTCCAACATTTAATTTAACTGTGTATGATTTGTAATTGGTGTTTTTTTTTAATTATGCAATTTTGAAGTTAACGCATGATTTTTTTACTTGTTCTAATATTTTAATAACATAAAATTTTTATTTCAAAAAATTGTTATTAACCATGTTATTCAACATAAAAGTTGATTTTTCTCGATTTTTCTTGTTGGGGAGAAAAACATCCACTACCCCTTCAAAATCTTCACCAATTATGACTTTAAAAAAATTTGTTATGGTAAATTGATAAGAACCTTTTTTTGAAATTTTTGGACAAGCTATCACATCCTGAAGTCCTGCGCATATATTATAAAATACCCCGTATAATGTTCTGGCTTCTGGATTTCTGTGGCGTTGCCATTCGCGGCGAGCTTTGTGCTTTTGTTTAATTAATGCCAGAATTAATTTGCCAGAAATTTAAATTTAATAATATGAGTAGAAAATGCTTACAAACGCTGTTTTCTGTACGATAAACGGTTCTGGAGATATTCGCAAAAAACGATTTTTTTATTAAATTTCAACACACTATATCTCGAAAATGGTGCATTTTAGAGGGTACGTTGATAAAAACATTTTTTCAAATTTTTGGACAAGCTATCACATCCTGAAGTCCTGCGCATATATTATGAAACACCCTGTAGAAGTGGTCGGGTTGTTAGATGACATGATCGGTCAAATGAGAGTTGACAAAGAAAGGGGCTGATGGACACACGAATTTAGTTTATATAAAGGACAAAAGAATAGTATATGACGCTACATACTCGACTCAAAAGGTCAAAGTAACAATAAAAATTTTGATGTAAAATTTTCAAATATTTTTAAAGTCTATCTTAAATATGAATAAAAAAACTTAGGATAACACTTGTAAAATAATTTCATTACAATTTAATGTCATATCAATCTGCCGCAAGCGACCTTGGCTATACTTAGCGCAAAGAATTCTAATTATCCTTGCCTGATTAAAACAAGGTCGCTTGCGGCCGAAACTCTGCGATTATTAATATCAAATTAATTCAGAGTTGGTCAAAACTTCACAGCGCGTCGATCACAAGCGATCTCGGCTAAAGATAGTGCAGACAATCTGTGATTTTGCGTGATTAAGCTGAGATCCCTTGCAGCCGAGGCTCTAAACTTAAGTAAAATTGTAGATTATCTGCACTAAGTTTAACCTAGGTCGCTTGCGCCAGAGGCTTTGCGAATTTTCGACCAGGTTTGGGTGGGTATGGTATTAATTGCAGCTCCTAGGCTGCAAGTGCCTTCGGGGAGCCTTATGATATCTACCAGATACTATCACTGTTCTCACCGCAGCTTTCTATTCTTCAGAAATGCTTTGTAATGTTGCCCTTTGCAATTCCATAGTAACTGTTCTTTATTTACAGTGTAATTAAGTTCCTTTGTAATATATTACTAGGGACTATAAAGATGCTGCTTATCAGGCATACCAGAAACGCTGAAAATACATTGATGACCATCCACATTCTCGAACTTATTTCGCCAAATAAATGAGTGAAATATAAGGTATAAACAGCGTTTTTAATGTACAGCAATAGAGAAAATTTTATTCGGATTTTCGGTCAGCAGGAATTAAAAGTAAAACAACTTTTTAAAATCGCTAATTTTCGATTGTTAAAAATACAATCTTCTTCAGAGCATTTTATTGCTAAAAGATATTACAAAGAAAAAACGTAAGTCAAGCCACCATATTTTAAGAAACAAAAATGTAACTTACTTGTAACTCGAAGTGGCGTAAAATCTGGGAAATCGTCAAAAATGAATTGATCAAAAACATTATTAAAATGTTTTTGTTTTCAACATATTCACATAAAATATCAACCAGATCAGTTTAACTAATCCAGATTTAATTAATACAGAACGCTTCACGTACAGAAAGCTTTCATACATAGGAAGGTTAAGCGACCAGTTAAAGAAAACGTTGAAATGTATTGATAACATAAAGATCATTGATTGTTATGATAACAAATTAGGAAACCATTTTACTAAACGTAAGGATAAGACTGATGATAATTTTAGATCCAACTTGATTTACTGTGTTTCATGCAAGGGTTGTGATGGAAAGTACGTTGGTCAGACCAGTCAGTGGCTGAAATGTAGAATCTCAAAACATGCAAGTGACTGTAGACTGAAAAAGTCCAGTAATGCTTTATCCCAACACGTTTTGGAGTGCGGACATGAGTTTGATTTTGAGAATGTAAAAATCTTGGATTCAGAAAGCAATTATCATGGTAGGCTGTTCTTGGAGATGGTACACATCAATTATACACAGAATGCTGTAAATTTTAAAACAGATACTCAGAACCTTAGCAACATTTATGCTTATTTGTTTGCCTTAGATAGGTTTAACCATAATAATTCACGCAACTTACAAGGTTCCAATCCTAATAACACCTCAAATTTCTCCAATGATATGCTATTTTAGTATTTTAGTTGTTTTTATATTGATTATTTTGAGTTAATTTTTTATTGTTAAGAAATTTAGAGATTCTTTATAAATTAAATTTATTTTTGTTTAACGCTCGCGTGTTTGATGAATTTTCTTTTTTGTGTTCTCACTCCAAAAACGGGTTTTCCCTTTTTACATTTGACAGTCGTGCATTTTGCGTCTATTTGTTCCACGTTTTATTAATAACTTTTTGATATTTCATTTTTCAATTTTAATGTGTTTTTTGAATTTTAAATTTTAATAATGTTTTTGATCAATTCATTTTTGACGATTTCCGAGATTTTACGCCACTTCGAGTTACAAGTAAGTTACATTTTTGTTTCTTAAAATATGGTGGCTTGACTTACGTTTTTTCTTTGTAATATCTTTTAGCAATAAAATGCTCTGAAGAAGATTGTAATTTTAACAATCGAAATATTAGCGATTTTAAAAAGTTGTTTTACTTTTAATTCCTGCTGACCGAAAATCCGAATAAAATTTTCTCTATTGCTGCTCATGTTGTTGGTCGATAATACCAAGGTCCGTTGAGTAAACATACTGTATAAGGTTATCCAACTCCCTATGAACGCTGTTGTTATGAACGTATCCCCTCCGCAAACGCCCACAGACAACTGCCTTGTTGTGACGTCATTGGAAGAATTGTCATTTCTGTTTTCAATTTTATACGTAAACCAACAGAAACTCTTTATTTCTTAAGTTTAATAACACTTTTTTAATTTTTAAATAATTATTAACATAAATATTATTATTATATTATATTAAATTTATATTATATCATATTATGTTATATTTTTCCTCCAATGACGTCACGTTTCCCACCTCACCCTGCCAACGTCAAGTTGTTCGAGTTGGATAACCTTATAACCAATCAACATAACCAATATAACCAACTCAACGGACCTTGGATAATACTTCTTGCTGTATTTTTAATGTACCGCATCTACACTGTAAATCACACCAATACTGTGATATTGGTTGCATACTTGCAATGATGACGTCGGGTACGATAATTAATTAACACACTGTATGTTTCAATGTACTTTTCGTTCCTATTCACCTAACTATCGGTATATATGGGTGTATCAAATGGAATATAACCAATAACTTCGCCATTTGTGGTTTTAAAGAAAAATGTTTCAAATAAAAGTTTCGTTGCTATGGCAACCAACATTGTTATTTTAAATGGGATGCATATGTTTTGTTTTGCATTTAAATGATATGTTATAACGCCTAGTTTGATTCTAATTTGATGATTTAATATTTTCAGAAAACGCATTTTATCTCGATTTTTTTCTTATACAACCATGTGATTTGATATGTTCATCGTGTAGAGGGATTTATCAAACTATGCAAAAAAAACATGTGCATCCCAGTTAAAATAATAATATTGGTTGCCATAGCAACGAAACAAAAAACAAGCAAATATCGCCAAAATTAATAAAGAAACTTTTATTTGAAATATTTTTCTAAAAACCACAAATGGCGAAGTTATTGGCTATATTCCAGACATTTTATACACCCTGTATATTACTCAGTTTGCTATAAATTTGATTATCTTAAACATAATTTTTATATATTTCTGTTATTTGTTTGCAACGTTCATAATTATCAACTAATAAAACTTTATAATCATAATAACGTCAACTCACACAGAATATACACATTTGTTTCCACGAATCAGATAATCCCACCTCATTCTTTAAATGTGAAATACAGATCTACCTAATGGTGTCCGACAGAATAATCAGCATTGTTTTTTGGTTCAAAATCAAATAAAAATTCAAAAGTAGACGCAAATGCAGGAACAACCTAAACCACCTTTTGGTTATCTTCGCAGTAAAAACTTTTTACTTATGAGTTTTTCATCGTTTACTATAGATAGGAATCGATTTCACCAGTAGTTGTAGAAAGAACCCAAGTTACCGATATTGTGATGTAATTATTGAAAGACATCTATCACATAATGTGATAATAAAGAAAATGCCTTCGGTCTGACACCATAAAATTATTGTTTTCTATTTTGGACACTATTTTCTATCATTTTTTCACATGCAAGTAATCACTAAATCGTTCTAAATTTCATCCACTATATTTCTAGGAATGTTTTTAGTTCTATCCTAGATAACTTTCAAGGTATATCATAATTTTGAAGTAACTAGCATTGATAATCACTAATTTTGTCCTCTAGCATATTTCTTTTGTATCTAACTGTTTCTAGATGTAAATGAAGCGATTTAAAATGTTATATATAACTATTTTTATGAAAAAATCGCTTCTACCATAGAATCAGCGATCATGGATGTTATGACACCACTAAAAACTCTAGAAAGATAAAATCCATCAAGAATCGCTAACTCTATATACATCTGCATTTATATTCAGTGAAATCTAAGCATTCAATTCGAAAGTTAAGGGTGCATCATACTTTAACAGTTAGTTTAGAGAAAGGTTGCTCTTTGTTTTATGAAATCTTGTAATAAAGGAAAGAAATGTTATATAAAATTTTCTATGCTAGTTGTTTTAAATTTTTATTTGTACTTCTTTAATTTATTTCAAGATTAACTTAACTCAATCTGAGGCATTCGTGCAAATCTTGTGATCTACGTTCTACCTCACTCAATAAACGGCAACCCGCCTCTCACCCGCTATTAAAATTGTATCCAAGAGCCCGATGCAGACTTTGCATCGCCCCCTTGTATTTGCTATACCTGGTCTCCAATCCTTCGGGAACCTGCAAACCGTTAGCTTTATGGTTGAAGATGTGACTGTTTTTATCTCCTAGAAAAATATGTTTTTAATAGTAAAAATTACTTTCATAAAAATTGTTGTACCATATTGTGGTGGTTGAGGAATTATTTGTGCTGATTGATGTTGTATCCAATTCGACGATGATTGAGGAGGTACGTATTGTGGAAATTGAGGCATCTGAGCTGAATCTAATTGGACTTTGGAAACAATTTGGCCGTTTCTTTGATCGTTAATTGAAGATCGAACGAATTCTTCTTGTGATTGAATTACGGGGATATTTTGTCGAGGAATAAATGAGTGATATTGTTCTTGATTTGGAGGCGGATTTGCTACGAGACTTGGTCTAGAACGTTCCTAAAAAAACAAAATCAATTATATTTTTAGATTATATGACATTTTAAAACGTAAATACCAAATAATATAAAAATAATTATCAAGATTAGAATTATTTTTTGTTGCTTAATAATAACAGCATTAGACTTCATGCTTAAAATATTGCTTCTCTCAACATTACAAAGATAAGTATTACATAAATGGCAATCTCCATCTATAATCTCGCAAAAATTTAATTTCTTCGCTTTTACGCATCCTCTATACGTTATGTTTCGAGTTATTATCAAAGCACAGCTATCAGAATATCTCCAGTTGCACACGAATTTCTTTGGGGATTTACAATTAGGGATAGATGATAAAGGTATAGATGGAAGAAATTCGTCGATCATTGCTTCCCGCGAACCTTCATAACACCAATAACACGCAAGACCATGAATTAAAGGGAAACAACCCAAAAATACAATTAAAATGTATAAACAAGAAAATGATAAGGTATTCTTAAAGTAATTCATTTGTGACGTTTTCATTTAAATGACATCAAATTATAAACAAAAATATTATGACAAGCATTTCGTTATATCTTAGATAAAAATTAATACTTACAATTTCATCTACTTTCGTTGTTTGAACATTAATAACTTGTCGATTATTAATGTTGGTTGATGGTGGTAGAGTAGTTGGAATTTCTTGTGGACAACCCAGTTCTGGAGCTTCGTCACTGCCATCGGAACATTGTGGGATACCATCGCAAGCGTTGTATATTGCTATACATTCGCTATTTGAGCGACATTCAAATTGAAATCGTTTACATTTGCCACCTAAAAAAACAAAATAAATGCAATATTTGTATTTTTGTCTCATTATGTGTTTAATGGCATTTATAATTGGTGACCTACACTCAACTTTCACCCTACACGATCTTGCAGATGCTACCAATATGATCGATCAGGATGATTTGAAAGAATTAAACATCTATAACATTTCCGCCCCTATACTGATCGTGTAAAGTAAGCCATAAATCAGTTCGTCAGTCTTTTGTAATTTTGTTGCAGTTCACACCTCGTCTAGTTCGCTCCCTGCTAGTCCTGCTAATACTTAATACTAATAGGTTTTTGTTTTAAAAAATGGATGACGAATAACTTGATGCTAAGTTGCTTGAAAATGAGGAGAGAAGAAAGTGAATTTAACAGTTCATAGAAATGTACGAAATGTGAAACGCAGATGCAGAAGAAACCTGCAAACAAATAAAGGACGTGGTGAAGCCGGTGGGACTGAGAACAAATATAGAGAAAACGAAAATAATGATGCAGGCTATGGCAGAATCGTGTCGCAATTCGTATATGCTCGAATGGTGCTAGCGAGGGATGGCTCTCAGAGTACATTAAGATCCAGATATTGCAATGGGCAGGATATGTTGGCAACTGTTTAATAGGAGAATGCAAGGAGCGAGATTTAGGGGAAGGCAGAATGTAAGATGGGAAGATGAGACAGATAGGGACGCAAGAAGATTGGGTCCAGAAACTGAAAGAGAAAGTCCATGGACAGCGAGGCTTGGAGGCAAAAAATGAGGGAGGCTAGGGACCGATAACGGTCTATGGAGTCATTGTAGAAAAAGAAACGAAATCACACTCTAGATAAACTACTTGTTATTTACAAAAAAATTAACAAAAACGCTAAAAAGATAAATACTTTGCACTCAAATTTCCGCAATTGTCCGCAAAATATCTTCCGGTTGTACATTAAGGTGATTCCAAACCATTCTTCAGCTGTTATAGACTGCGTTTGTGTTTTGCCTTTTAATAAATAGTTTTGCCATTGACAACAAGTTGACAAAAGTATTATAGCTTTTGCAAAAATAGTTTTTGTAATCTTCTGCGTTAGAGAACTTCCTTAAGAAGAATAAGGTAGAACTAATAATTATAATAAGTTGTAGAATAGTACTCTACTCGCTATCTTAACCATTCTTTTACCCATCGCTTACGTGTTTTAGTACGTTTTTTGACACAAACTAAATAATTGCTACAGACACCTTCCGGATATTATTCATTCCTGAGGTGCACATGTCACATACTAAGATAAGACTGACGAAAATATTAATGATCAAAAAATTTAAATATTATCGTGTATGGTGAAAAAGTTTTAGGAATGACAGTCTGAACGATTGTATAGGGTTGTTAATATAATGCATTTACTCCGTCAAAGCATGCAACTGATTCATCAAGTCTGTCTTATTTCTCTGTTTCATCAACCATGAGTCTGTTTTAAAATGGATAAATTACACGCAATTAAATAGCAAGTTATGTTTTGATCGATATGAAATATTATTGTTCCGAATTCCAGAATTACTTCTTAATTTTTCATTTATCAAGAGATGTGTTCTTTATATACCTCTAAAGATACTCAAAAATTCAAGTGTATACTTGAAATATTGTAGAATTCATAGGACAATTTTTACTGAATTTTACTAAATTTGTGTTTAAAAGATTCTAAAACACTGTAGGTACAAACTGAAAGAAAAACTTCATTGAAGAATCTATGTCTACAATTTCTAAAGGATTGCGAACTCACAGCAACAACTCAATGTCATGCTAATCGATCAGGTACATGATGTTATAGAAAGTTGCATCGAAATGATGATCAGGTATTATTTTATGAACCAAAAGTATCAGAAAAAAGGGGCTAAGAAGAATAGACCCCCAAAAATACTGGTTCACTGCTGAAGCTAGTAACCTGCCAGTGGTAAAAGCCCAAATTACTCAAAGAACAGACAAATCAGCTTTGGTTACAGGACTGTCTTATGATAACGACTAGTGATGGAAAGGATAGTAATTTTGCAAAAAGCCGGATAACCGGATATCCGGCCGAAGGGGATGCCGAATGGCATATCTATCCGGCCATTATGGTTATAATTTCTGGTGCATTTCTGAAGTGATACTCTATGTTGCCACATTATTGCGATATTTGAATAAAAATGAAATTAATAAGAACGCTGATAAGATATGTCAACTTATTTGTCGGTTACTTCAAAAATTCATTTCTCAAGAACTAAAAGTGATTTTTCAAAACGGCTTTTTGCATTAAAAAGAAGATACTTTAATTAATAATCGTCAGTGATAACAGCGAATTACAAGCGTAGAGAAGAAAACTAGACGAAACTGCAACAAGAGATTTTATATGTATATCGTATTGGCATTGTTACAATGAGGTTGCTAATGATAAATAAAGTTGTATTCAATGAAAAAAGTGCCATTGGGGTTGAAATTGATTATTATCTGCACTGTCTAATACCTAAAAGAGATACTAATTCCTGTGAATGGTGGAGTACTAAGTAATAGGTTTTTTATATCCGGCCAAAGCCAGATATTAGGTAACTATCCGGTGTCCGGTCGGATTTTAAAAAATGGCCGGATAGCCCGAATACCGGATAGTTACCGGATATCCGTTCCACCACTAGTAACGACATGGCTAGAAAAAGGAAAGAAATACTGGAAGAAGAACCTGATAACACTTAGATCGTGGAATGGTAAATCATGGAATTAGAAGCACCAAGAAATTGTTGTGAAATTGAATAGGCACCGTATAGATATCTACCCCATATCAGAGACGAACGGGAAGGGAAGCGGAAATCACAAAATACAACAACTATGTATTGTTTTACGTCGGAAGACCGAAGAACGCAACAGCAGAATACGATGTCTTTCTGTTAATACACGAAAAGCTTGAAAACAACAGACTGTTTATATTCACCGGACACCAGTAAACCAAAGGAAGAAATAAAGAATTTTTACAACCATCTCTAGGACTTAGTAGAAAGCATTCCGAAATAACACCTCGTGCTGATGGATGATTTTAACGCCAGGATCGGAAATGACATTATGGAGATAGTGAAAGAATGATACCAAGAAGAAGTCTACGAACAAGTAATACCTACTTTTCCTACAAGAATCAACCCAAATCTAATAGCATAACGGAACATAACGATGCCAGAGCGTTACAATCAATCTAGTACATTCCTACGCTTATAATTACAGTAGAGTGTTCCCTATGGTTTCTCTACTTTCCTGATGCCTTGCATACATTGCAAGACTTTAAAACTATTTCCACTGCTTTGTAGCCACTTTCACTGCATCGTACTGCACCAACTCAAACGAGTTGGTTCGTTGAAGTCTACGTATTAGCTGGCAATTGTCCAAGAGGTGAGTGGCTTCCACATTGATATAATGAAGAAGAAGTACCTCAAGATCTCTGTGGAGGTCGCTATTTTTTTATGTAACAAGGCGCATTTGCAATATCCTTTAATACCTTTTTCTGAAACATTTGTATAGTATTGGTATTACTTTCTTTAGAGCAACTCCATAGTTAGAGACCAAACTGCGTTAAGGACTTGAGGACTTTCTTACCTATGAGCTAATACATTGTCATATACATTAGTTCTAATTCTATCGACTTCTTTCTCACATGCTCTTTCCATCGTAGTTTAGCATCCAAGGTCATGCCTAAATACTTGGCAGTATTTGCATATGGAATGACATTTCCATTAATTGTCAGATGTTCTAATTTTTTCTATGTTAATTATTAACAGCAAGTAATACAGCGTCATCTACAAAGATATCAGTCACCGTTTCTGACGACCTTTTCCAGTTTGAAGTTCCAATCGCCTTGTCTTTGCTTTTCCTTCTATTTTTCGACCGTCGTTTTATTACACGTTTTATGTTCTGAAGGTATATACATATATATATAAGGTTCGTAGAGTTCTCCTTCAATTATTTCATCTTCCACCTTATCTGCTGCAACTTCACTAACTAATGATGTTGATGTTAATTATTCTGGAAATGCTTCCGCCGACTTCTTCAGTAATTGTATTGATCCAAATTCTATTGTGCATCGCATCAGTGTTACTAATTTTTGTCGTAACAATTTACGAATCCAACATAATTGATGGCAAAACTACAATTTACCTCATAATTTTATTGTATACAAATTCTATACTTCACAGAGGTTGTGATGATGTTAATCAACGATTACAACATTGGCTATGACTTTAAATGTGCTATAATAAAGAGTAAGTGAGGTACATTTTGTTATTTCGTTGTAAAAGTTCTTTCGCGTAATCTTGATTAGAAACCTAAGGAAAGCTATTTATATAAAATAATGCTATTCTATAATTTTCCAGAAGCTTTAAATTAATATACCTCTAAAATTAAAGTACAACAACAGAAAAATATACTATTAAGTATGAATTTAAAGTATTACATAAATATCTTTCATAATCCTTAGATATTATTATTATTATTATTTTCTTAAAATAGTTTAATTTTCACTATATGAGTTAAATATTAAACTATTAAATAGTTTAGCGTAGTAATTAGTTTGTAAAGAAAGAAAGTACAAGAAGAAATCTGCGTGTTTTAATAAAAATAGGCTATCGTAAAATTACCGGTAAGTTTCACGGACGAATTGTATGGCTCGCTCAACAATCGAAAGCGTAACCTTTCTATAATTTTTTTTTTCAACAAAATTAACGAAAGTGAGAACTTGTTAGAGGAACGCTGTCGGCAAACAATGTGTTTGTTATTAAAAAGAAGACCATTTAATTACCGCGTAAGAGGACAATGCGGTGTCATCTCTTTACATGCGTATTGTGATAGTATCAAGAAAGTTACTAAAGATTTATTTATGTTATAAATAAAACTATATGTATATGTTACGGAACATGTGCACATTTAGGAAATGTGCACATGAATAGGTAATTAATAATTATACTTGATTAACTTGACTTGATGTTAAAACATTCTTAAAACTTCAAAGTTTGCATTTT